CCAATAAATCTTTTCCAACCACTCAAAAGTTATTTCTCTTTTTTGCAATGGTATTATACTGTTGATTCATGCGCAGTTTATGATTCTGCAATATTTTTCTGTGGTATTGTCCATTTGTGTTTGTCCATCTGTCCTCTTTCAGTGGCAGTTTGAACCTGCCACTTCCTCAGGTTGAATTTGGATAATTTATCAAAAATCATTTGAAGTTTGATCAAGTCTTCCGAAGTGCTTACATTTCTTCTTGGTGTCATTTGGTAACTATGCTTTGTATTCCATCACTCGATTTACTAATGAAAGAATTGAGCAGATCTGAACATATAGAATCTCCTTTGAGATTCTACTAAAAAAAAACTGATAGTATAGGGCTGATTTTTCAAATAGCTGTGCAGCCGCATTATATGTGGAATGGAAACAGTGTCAAAAGACTGTTTCAGACTTCTTTCCTTAAAAAAAATCAGGATGGTGACACTAATACTGAAAAAATGAAATTTCTAGCTGTGTTCTAGAACATTCTCATTCAATTATAAATAATAGTAAATTTCTGTGTATGCACATAAGAGATTAAAAGCTTCATATATTTGCATACTTAGCACATGTCTAAAAGGTTTCCTGCAAAATCCAGCTTCCAATGCCTTCATTTATGTGGATAACATAATAATTTCAAAGTTAGAAACAAGATTAGTTCAGTTTGGAAATCTGTTTTCCCTTCCAAAATACTTGAGTTTGATCAATGCAACATTTTTGCTTTAAGTATATAAAATACACTAAATCCTACAGTCATTTATGCCTTTTTTTTCTGTTCAGTTTGATTAATGATTTCAAAACACAAAAACTCTTTGTATTTTAGATGTTTTGGTTGGTCTCTGCATTGCTATTTTCCATTGTTGAGAGAGAGATTGCTGTCCTGAGATTGCTGTCTTTTGAACTGTTTTTCCCCATTAAACCTTTTGATGATTCCAGTTATCAAGTCACAGTAAAAACCAATGAAAACATTACAATCTAGATTAAAATTATAATTTGTACACTACAGCAATAAAAGTTTCTTGTTGATTGAGGGTTATTTCTATTTGAATTGCCTAGTATATCCTTTGATTCTTTTTGAATGAAAGCAATTCAAGGTGGTCACACTAGATTATCTTGGAGTCTGTTACAGTAGCGTTCCTCAGAATATCAACTCGGGTTGATATTCTCAGATATGTGTGAGATGCACATCTCAGATGCACAAACATGCTGCATAATGGGAATGCAAAGCAGAGCTAAAAGACATCTACATTAGCCTACTGCAACTTTTAAGTTTCTCTTTTAACCATTAAGCTATGCTCAGTGTGCTATAACTTCCTATGGTCTTCCTATATTTGTTGCCAAATTTTCTAGGCTCAGTGTATATGAGAATGTCACAAGGTTAGCTACATGAACTGATACTGCCGGTTTTACACTGGTTTGTGCATGTGTTCAAATCTGCTTACATAAGCCAGATCTACACTTCATTTTTCTGTACCTGATGAAGGTCTGAGGAGAACATGATCTCTTAGCGATATAACTCAGCTTGGCAGATGCCTCTCATGATAGTTATATCAGCAAAATGGCACTTTCACTAGAATAGTTTGTGTTACTCAGCAGAAGCCGTGAAGAAAAGAGCTGGCAGAAGATGGACAAATAAAAATATCATGTTTCTAGCATAGTCCTTGTCTGCGCTACAATCACTTGCCTATACAATGAGCTGTGATTCTGTAGATGCAGCGACTGAACAGAAAATTAAAATTTGTCATTGCAAGTTGCCATTCTTTTCCACTGAAAATGTAAAGTAATACAAGGCAGAAAACACCATTTTCCTGAGGTGAGTCTTCATATTAGCCTTTCCCTGGAGGGGGTACTCATGGTGGTATTCTACTACTACTGCAACGTGTCTACCTACATAAGGCAAACAGAATTCCAGTAAGCACAGAGAAAACCCTTTCTGTGGGAAAAAGATCAAAAATAAATTAGTATTAGTTAATTAAGTAGTAATACTTAAAATTATTCAGAAATGAAGTATCTATTTTAGTGTTCCAATTCAAACATCCTCTCCAATCCCACTTCTGGTGTGAAGTCTTCAGGAAATTAACTATTAGATTTCAATTAGGAGAATGAGTATTGTGGCCATTATTGATGTTTCTGCATTAATCATTTCTAAAAGCTTTTTGAAACATCAAGTTTATCCATACAGCTGTGTTAATACCATCACTTTGTTCCCTTTTTGTGCATTGTTCTAACTTACACATTGTATCTTGCTTGTGTTCTAACTCACACATTGTATCTTCAGATATGATCTGTGTGGAAGGGATCTTCTCCTTTGTTAAAATACACTGCAGGATGCATTGGGATCCTTTGCTTGGGATATGTAATGTTACCACAATAGGAATGATAATGATTCCTCTCCGCTGAGTTATGGTTTTATAATTATCACAGTTATAGAAGGGAGACAGACTCATGGTCTCATGATCAGAGATGTTCATTTTCCTCAAAAAACTAAACTGGATAGGAGATGATATGGACAATTTATAGGCCGTATCTGGTCACAAAAGAGTCTGTTTCAGAACTAAATAACTGTTAGAACATATACCTCTTTTATTTTTGCTTTCCAAAAACATATTATTTTCTTGTTGATTCAAAATGCATTGATATATTTAAGTAGATATCAGATAGCTCCATCAGCATGAATCTGAAAGACAGCACTAGGTGCACATTGTTTCACTAATAGGAAGTCTCCCGTTCTCTATAAATAGGCATGTTTCAGTTCTGATTGTTCTGTACTGAAATAACTGTGTAGACGTCTAATTACCCTAAATAGAAAACACAAATAATGGGAGGCATTCAAACCGGACTGAAAAATTGTTCCTAGCAGTTTACTGTTCTACTTCCTGGGCTTTGGTTCAGAAATGAGCAAGGTCTGAGAGCCCTTTTTTCCCCCTTTTCTTTTCTATCGTACATTGACATTGATTATTCTGCCGTGTCCCGAAGGCAAGTGATATATAATGCAGTGTCTCTTTTGGAGTCAAGGGTCAAATTCATCCCTGGCCAGGATTTGTAACGATAAACAAGGGAAGGAAATGAATGACTTCTGAAAAATTGAGTTCCCTCCAGCACCCTTTCAATTTGCACACAGCTAGACATTGTGCTTTATATGCAATTATAATGATTTAGTCAAAGGTGTTTACCAGTCAAAGGCGTAATATCCTGCTTATCTGATAATTACGTGGCTGGTCAGGACCATTGAGTACATTATTAATATTGTCAATCTTTTGCACCAGAATGAAGTGTTTCCTCATTGGTGTTTATTTTTTAATGTTATATTTACTTGCTCTGTATGGCCTATATATACACACCTGCAGTTTTTTATTTGTTTCACAAGGTAGCATGTAGTAAGTCTGCCTTGCTTAAATTTTTTATGCCTTAATGAAATTTTCTACAATAATACTGATTCTTGTAATATAAAACTGAAGAATTCTTTATAGTAAGGGGGAGAATATAATTAAAAATTTATCTCTAGCCTTTTGTAGCACTGCTTATAAACATTAAAAAGGTAATCGTTATTTTCCTAATCCTGAATCTGTTCTGCACATTCCATTCATTACTGTACTTAATGCAAATTGAGTGTTAAATCTCCTTAAGTGGAATCCTCAGCCTGCCTTGTGTTTGGGACTGGGATAAGCATGGGAAAGAATTACAATTTAGAGATGGAAATCAGCCAAAATAATATCTTCGTGGCTGTCAGTGGGACCAAATTTAGAGGGTAATCTTATAAAATTAAAGGTGCCACAGATGGGTAGCATAGAAATGAAATAAAATGTATGCAATCCAACCTTGGAAAAAAGGAACCAATCAACCAATCACTGTGATAGCTACCCTGAAGAGAGTTATGACTACATGCTATAACCTGACTTAGATGCTTTCGAGCTTCTCTGGCTGCCCTTTCTGTTTGGCAGCTTTATTTCTAACTGATGCTGTGTCACTGATGTGATTTCCCATTAGTTGCATCTACTTATGGTCAAAAGACAGCAATCTCAGGAGAAAAACAAACATGTTTTATCAACAGTGGAAAATAGCAATGCAGAGACCAACCAAAACATCTAAAATACAAAGAGTTTTTGTGTAGATATACAGTGTTTTCATTAATTGTTTTGGAAATGCCATCATCTCCAGCTAAGCCAGATCACTAGGCTATATTCAGAATGAAACAAGTTACCACATCAAGTAGCTGATCAGACTAGTTTGAAACCACACTGAGCATTACATGCAGCAGCATGGACAGACTTCTAGACCTGTTTGTATCTTCTAATCCATAATGTGTTTTTATTGGTGCAACTTAGTTTTGACTCTTCTTCAAACAGTCTGACTCCAATTTGTTTCCTCTGACTTGTTTTCTTTGTCCAAAAAAGAAGAATACTAAAAGAAGACTAAGAGTATAGCTATTTTCTCATTACAACTTGATTTCCCCATGTTCATTGCTTCTGGAAGTTGACAATGCACTGTCTCATATTTAGGAAGCAGCTACACCCAAATTCAAGCTAAAAATTACTTCCTGTAAAATTTACTTCTCAATAACAGAGGAGAGCTTAGAAGATCACAGTGTGTTTTGTGAGTTTGCACTACAAAATCATTTGCTAAAGGGGTCAGAAACAGGAACAGGCTAAAGCATTATCATGTTATTTAACTTTTTCATCTCTAAATGCTATTATTTCAGGCCAGGTTCCAGGTAACTGGACATCAATAAGCATCAGTAAATGCCACAGGTGCAATAGCAAGTGTAAACTGTGAAAAATCTAAGTATATCACCAAAGCTTGAACTGTGGTATGAATATAATTTGTCTTTTATTCCCTTTTCCACCTGTGCATCTGTTGATGAATTTAAATCCCCAGAAAGTTGCGGTTCCCCAGGTTTTATCTCTAATCATTTTATGTTCAAGCAGGAATTGTATGATAACTTTAATTTTCAGTACGCTGCTTTTCTTTTCTGACAGGTGACCAGAGCTCTTGGGATCTTCTGATTTGCTTGTCTTCCAGAAAAGCTGATGGTGGTAACTGCTTTCAGCTAGATGACTTCCATCATCTAGAGTTATTCCGGAAGGTACATGATTATACGTTTTCCTTTCTCAGCATGAGAGGACAGGTCTATCCCAAATTATTTGTGCTCACTTACAAAAAGGAAAAAAAAGAGTATCTGATGATGATTTTATAGTGAAGCAGCGTGGTTTAACCACTATAAAAAGCTTCGTCAAGTTTCATATCTACTGAAAAATACTTATATCAATATATCACATCCAGAGATCAGGAGTGATTTCTTATGGGGACAAAGTTTGATATTTTGGATCTAAATATTTCAGTATAAATTTTGAAAATTGTTACAACTAAATATCCAATTTACTCTTCTCCAACTTGAACTTTTGCTTCTGTACAAACCCTTTTGCTTCTGGCCACCCTCAAATAGCAGGCCATGCAGAAAAGAGGACTACAAAAGTCAGGGGAAATTTAAACAAGTACCCCATTGGAAAAAGAAAATTTAGAAATGGCAGGAAACAGCTAGAAAATGTATGAACTGTTTCTGAATAATAGCTTTGGCAGAAGATAAAGCTGGGCTAATTCAGGCTTCACAACTTGTTGAGTTTCATCTAATGTATTTACTCCTTTGTAAACATAATTCAGGCACCTCTCCAAGCAGTGCTCCTACAATTGATAATGTGTGAGCTGGACTGATATCTTCATCCAGGGCCTTCACAGGAGATATCTGGACTCTGCTTTGGCACAACAGTCTGCTGTTGGACAGTCCACTGTCCAAAGCATCAGTGGTGCCAAAACTTACTTGTGTTTTCAGGATTGCTTTTCCTCACTTAAGCATGTTGTGAGCACATTTTAAATTACTTAGATGTTTATGTATCTAAATAAGAACCTAACCTGGTGGTAAAAATATATGTGATTTATTTAAACTAAGGTCTTTGTTTGAAATCATGTGACCAAACTACAGCTCATATTTCAAATAACTTTAACATATGTATTTGCAAATTATTACATATATATATGCAGATTATATATACATTATGTATAAATGACATATGTCTAATTATTGCAAAACCCAAAATACCGTCTTTGATCTGCAGACTTGGGAGAAACATAGTTGTTTTTTAAAGGGATGTAGTTCAGCTACAAAGCATATTCATAAGGATTCAAAAAGAATATTGTATGTATGTCCACAGTACTTAGAGCTAGGAGCATATTGGAGTCCCCTGGGGCAGGATACCGTACCTCAGTGTATACAAAGTTAAATTTTTACAGCAGTTCCACTTTGCTAAAAATATAGATACTTTGCTTGCAGGTGTTTCAGATAATAAAGCATCCCAGGCTTCTGCAAGCCATTTGCTTCTTATTCTACTGATTAATATTGTAGCTGAGATTCTAATAATCTGCAGTGTAACAATTCTCATAGCATTCTGCAATGTCCAGAAGTTTCTTGCATGGAAAACAGAGATATAAGGTGATCAAAGGAGTTGCCTGGGTTCCCTCAGGAACACAAGCATAGCAGATGGCTTTACATATTGGACTAAAGTTACTCTCTGTAATGCTACATACTACAGTGCAGCACCATTCTTTATGATAGAGTCTGGATATAGTTTAGCTCACCATGGTGCCCAAGCACAGAAATTCAAAAAGCAGAGCTTTTTAAATCAGGTATGGACCCAGGCTACAGTGATGAAGCTTGAAGAAGCTGTGAGGAACCGCAAGGAACAGCTTGGCTGCTCCTGCAGTGTGCTCCTATCCCTCAGCCCAAGCTATCACAGGCAACATGGGCTTGCCCTGGGCTCACCCACCGCTGTAGATGTGTCCCATGTACTATTCCCATGCGGTGAGAGATAGTGACTGGTAACCAGCAGGGCATGGGGAAGCTGCCCAAATGATGAGAGGCAGAGGAGGGAGACATAAGTCTGAAAATTTGTTGTGATGGCCATGGAGGAAGAATTTGTCTTTTAATTCATTATCCCATATTGCAGGAATGGAAGAATTTTAATTCCCTACTGATACTGACACAAGTTTTCACATGAGGTGTCTCTCCCTAATAAATTAAACACCATTGAAGGCTCTCAACAGTTTTAAGAAAGAATCTCTAAAGCTTCTCTTTTTTATGTACAGGTAAACCTACTTCCAGAAATTCAGCATTTCCTTTGCAGAAAAGAAGGACTATGTGAGATAACCAAAGCCTTTTCAGGTAACTTTCTAATTTCTTGAAATCTGTACACATGGTAAAATCATTTAGTAGTCTTAGTATTAAGTCTCTGACATATGACAGTCAGACTCATACTTCCTGTTTATTTTTAGTCATGAGTTCATTGAAAAAAAGTAAAAATGGAATAAGAGGTCCATTTCAGACACCATTTAAATGTAATTTATATTTAGTATAGTTTCAGTATAGTATAGTTTCAGTTAGTATAATTTCAGTATAGCATAGTTAGTATAGTTTCAGGGTAAAACATTGCATTTTTTAGCATACTGTAGAAGTAAAATAGACTGTTAGTGTCCTACTTTTGGGCTATCTTGTGTTAGTGTTTACAAAGTCATGGGTTCAATGTAATACGTTTGCTCAGCTTTAGAAAAATGTTATGGCATGGAGAAGGAGTAGGAGCTGGAGTTTGGTTCCCATCCAGACATAATTTACTGATAAAAAAGCCTTTGTATATTAAGATCATCCACCAGAAGAGTTTAAAGGTTATGGGCCAGTTGCCAGAGAATTCTAGTTTACTATGGGTGAGACTCAGCTTTGTGTACCATGTTACATCTATTTAAACTCAGAGATTCGTTCTGATCCCACTTATACCACTAAATATCCAGCATCAGAGCTATTTTGGATCTATTATCTAACTTGACTGTATAAACTTTGCTTATGAGAAAGCTTTGTTGATGATAACATGATAACAAACCTCCCACATTTAGTACTTTAGTTTTTAGCCATGTTAGGCAGGCAGTTCAATCTGATTTTCTTTTTTTTTTTCTTGTATATATATATGTATAATTTATCATGTAAAGATAGAATTCATCACATCTTCTCTTTACTATTTAGAAGCTGGGTATCTAGTCCAGCCTTTAAGGTTAGTGGAGAGAGGGGGGCATCTTCAGAGAATGATTCATTTTGTCCTAAATTACGGGTTTGAAATAAGTGGGTCAGTTTATCTCTGGAGATGCTAATTATACAACTAGTCTCACCATGGATAGTAAATGGTACCTAGACAAATAGTTTAAATTAAATACCAGGATTTTGGATGGCTAGTATTCTTCATAAAGAACTGTATATTGAGACTCAGTTTAAATCGGACATTTTCTATACTCCTGATGCAATAAATTGTCAATACTGATCATAAGGAATGTGCAGGGTAATGAACATTTGACTGTGTCCTGTGAGAGTTCTTTATTGTTAGGTGGTATTACACTAGGTAAGTGATATATTGTGCTTTGGCTGAGTTCATAAGTATATCTTCAGTGATGCCTAGAGCCTTGATTCTACTTCATCGGAATGTGAATTAGAAAGGATTGTGATATGGTACCAGTTTCAGACAAACCTGAGCAGATTTCTAAAATTTTCAAGGACTTCAGGAATTGCTAATTCTTACTCATGTTATAACAGGCTGCCTTGAGACACATTGGTTTGCCCTGCTACTTGGAGAAAAGCCAATTGCAATAGTTTTTCTTATTTTACTACCACAAAACCACAAAGACAAGGGGCACTCACCACACACAGAGCTTTCCTCTTAAAATAAGCACATTTCACCAGTGTCCATAAACTGCGGTACAAGCCACTCTGTGTATGGGGTGTGTCAAGCTGTCCAGTAGTTGCTCCACTTTAGATGGAGGCAATTTGTAATCATCTAATTCCACTTTTATGGTACTGCTTTTTTTCCAGTGAAGGAGCCGTCATGACTGATGCTGAAATCCCCTTGAAATCGAGGCTATTATGTATGCTCAGACCTAGGGTCTGAGGTTCTTATTTACTCAGTAATAGAGGATTATTTTAGTCTTCTGAAGCTCAGACAACTATCAGAAGTCCCTCTCAGTATTCAGTAAATAAAAGCAGCAGTGTTTTATAGTAAAAAGAAACCCATCTCTCTTAAATCTAGATGTATTTGCATCAGTGTGTGCTCTAGGGGTAGAGGTAGTGATTTAAATACAGGGGTTCATGCCACTTGAGACCCTTCAGGAATCCAGGACATCCAGTGGGATGGGCAAATTCGGCAGAGACCCCATGTGCTTCTGAACCCCCGCCTGGAGGCTCAAGGGAACATCCTGCAGTATCTTAGAGTGCAATAGGTGTCCGTGGTTGGGTAGCTGACTCTAACGGTAGGTATCTCTTAGCTCTTATAAGTAGTCCAGTTAGAGTTAGCAGAGTCCTAAGAGTATTTAGTTCACCAGCTAATACCAGCATAGCTTAGGGTCACACAGGGTAATACATTGGCTGTATCCACTCGATCTTCATTAACTATAATAGGAACTTAGTTCTTGGCACACACCGAATAATCTTTGTATAGACATCAAAGCACGAGTGTCATAATCCAGAGTTTAATCCTACTCAATATCACTGTATATGTGATACCTTATTTAGTATGGTTGAAATTAACCCACAGGAGGTGAAATTACAAACATAAGGTGAAATCTTTTGGTGGTCAAGAGGAAAAAAAAGGTATAAACTAAAGCAATCTTTAAATAGATATTCTCCATCCTCCGCCTTGCATCAGGCATAGCCAACTCTTTCCACTTTTTTCTTTTTTTTTTTTTTTTTGTTTGCATCCTCTGACAGATTTCTCTGCCCGACAACAGACAAGTTGCTGCTTATTAGGATTTGTCTGATCTTCAACTTAAATTATTTTGGGGTAAAAAAACAGTTTTCAGCAATATTTCCTCCATGAGGCATCTTTTCTTTTCATATCAGTGGTGTGTTTTCATTTGTGTTTCTTGTGTTTCTTTGCATCTATGGGAATACTCTTCAGTTCCTGTTGAAGAGGATCAGTTGGTTTGTTATTGCTAGGTTTGTCATGTAGTCAGCCTCCCAAGGAGTCAAGCAATTTGTTCAGCAAGAGAAGACACAAAGTTGTTGCTCTAAGTAAACACACACTAAGCCATTGAAAGGAATACCAGGGAGCAAGAATGAGAGCTAGGATTACTGGCTTTGCAGTGAGTGTGTCTTTGTTGGTATTGATAAGCAGGGGCTGCTAGAGTGAATTCTTTAAACACATTGTTCAGTTTGTTGGTGTTGCTAGACTATTTTATTTGTTGTGAAGCAGTTGAACTGTTTGTTTTATATTTAAGAAAACATGCCCCCTTTCCTTATCCCTATTATATAAATATGGCTGCTGTGAGCATAATAATTTGTGGAAGTCAGTGCTTTTTTTTTTTTTTTTCTCCCTTTAATGTAAAATGTTTTTGCCAGACTGAAAATTTAGAATGATTCTTTGTGTATGGAAAAGGTTATGGAGTTACCAGTGACGATTCCTTTTTAGGGGCAGGAGAGACACTAGGAAGAGAAAGGATAGGAAAGATGGAGGATGATGAGTCTAGGAGAGCAAAAAAAAAGTGTGTGGGGTAGATTAGATGCAGTAGGAAAATAAATGCGAGGAAAGCAGTTGCTGCAAATGTTTTGTCATGAGACATAAGAACGATAATGGATCTTAAAATTCAGTATGGAAGAAAATAACTGGATGCTGCTCAGTCTGAAAAGGTTAGTTTTACTCCTGCTTTTGCAGTGCTGTGGGGACAGGAGTTTGTAACCAGATGCCTGTTGTCTGCTCCTTGTCATTTTATGGTCTTTGGACTGTAAGGAGGTTCTGACATGTCTGTTGAATGACAAAGGAAAGCTCTGAGCATTTATTGCTCAGGTCAATAGAGCTGCAGCTGTTGCAAGAACCCGTGAATCATTTTTTTTCCTGAAATTAACCCAAACATAGAAGTTCTGTGATGTAGAAAAATGACTGATAAAAGGATTTCAGGTGCTTAGACTCCCTGCCCCACCACATGTAGGGTCAGGACCAGGCTTGGCTGGAACTACTGCTGAGTGATGGAGAGGACTGCCAAGGCTCAGCCTCTGCCATGTTGTTGTTCTTTGCCCATCCTAATCAGTGATTCTTTTTAAAGATTCTTTTGCTGTATGCCTCCCTTAAGGATTTCTCCTTGCTAGTGTCATTAGTCAGACGCTTTATTAGTGTCTACAAGCCCTGCTTGCTCACTTGCTCGCCTGCGGGGTTGACTAACACTGACTAACAGTGACTCCATCACATGGATGGAGTTGGGGTAGACACAATCCTAATGAAAATGTTTGGGCAGCAGTGAGGTGGAGATAGCATAGCTGTGTGACCGTGATCCCAATATGTGGTATGTTAATTGTCTGGTGCTGACTGAGGTGCCAAAGCCCCTCAGCCTCTTTCTCCCCCTGCCTGGAAAATCTGCACCTGCTTTTCCCTGGTGTCCTCGAGTTACTCTGGAGATAGCAGGCAACGTGGTGACAGAGGATAAGGAAGAAAGCAAGGGCAGCTACGGTCACAGAGCTTATCACGCTCCTTTACGCTGGCTGCTTTATTAGATGGTAGCTGGGAGCACACAGCAGCAGGGGTGTTATTTGCCTTCCTTTGCTATCTTTGGTTTGGATCATGTTGCCACCTGTCATCAAGACCTGAGGCTGAATGTCAAGAGTGACAACCACTCTCCCCTCCCACCACCCCAGGGCTCAGCTGTGCTTTTGTAGTGGCTGTAAGTGGCTGGCCAGCTGTAATCAGATTGCCACGCTGCTTACAGCTGCTCTCACACACAGCTGACCTGGCTGACTCACTTATGCTGGATACTCCATCCTTGGATCCAGGAATCATCTGTGTGAGAGAGAAATTATGGATGAGATTTCTATTTCTATAATTCAGCATCTCCACAACATGCTTTAAAAAGGGATGTTCTTCTTTTGCCAGTTGGCCATTAAAAATGTCTGCACATGAGCAGTGGTCAATTTTGTGTCCATTACTTTTTTTGTTAAGATCCTCAGAAATGGCCAACAAAATCAGCTTTTTTTTTTTTTTTGATGTTAATTTGATTATAAACCACTTGGGAAAGGATGTTCTCTGTTTTAAAGTAGGGTCAAATCTCATCTGGGACAAAAACATACTTCTGTAATAACAACTAATCTGAGGAGACAGAAAAGAAGTAAAGCAACTAAATGAATTTAATTACTTGGCCCTCAGT